AGAATATAATATAATAGAATAGAACAGAACAGAATAGAACAGAACAGAACAGAACAGAACAGAATATAATATAATAGAATATAATAGAATAGAATAGAATAGAATAGAATAGAATAGCCATTTATTGACTTTGTACATGTACAAAGAAATTACAGGAGCTCCACACCAACTGTGCAGGAGTGAAAAAGTAAAATCAATAAATAGCAAACAAAGGAAATATATAGAAAAGAAGACAAAGGCACACACAGGAAACAGTGTGAAAGGACTTAGTTACTTAGTAGAGTGAGTATTACGTCAGTTTAATGAGCGAGTACGCGCATGTAAAAGCGTGTATAACTGTGCAGGACATCATAAAGAAGACCCAGTTAGCTATTAAAGGCATGGGACCCACGCAGGAAAACGCCGAATGCACGAAGTTAATTTGTGGTGGAGTATGTGTTGCTGTGTAGCATTCCTAGTTTGATTTGCAGTAAGATATGATGTGACCACAGTTTCATTTTAAATCTGGATGTTGTACAACTTTAATCAGCGTCACGCATCTGAAACGTGTCAATAATAAGCTAGATGAACAGAATGGAGTAAAAGTGATTTTACTGTATGCAAGTGAGAAAGAAACACGGAGTTTATTTGCACACAGCCAGACTGCGCGTCTGCACCGGAGCCCTATCTAATCTACTGAACTCGTTGCTGTGTAGTTTGTCCTTTCCCGCGCACCATCGCTAGCCAACATAGGAAAATGGCTTCAGCTGATTCCCAGCCGCGGTTCGGACAGTCTGTCAAAGGCTTGTTATCCGATAAAGTGGGCTCCTGCAGCGGGGATGTTATCGCGTTGACACGTCAAGTGCTAAAAGGATCCCGCAGCCAGGAGGTATCGCCACGCAAGTGATTTTAACTCAAGTTTAGTGATTTTTAGCGTCTTCTTTGAGCAACTAGCTAATGGAAAGCCCATTGTTAGCTAACGGAAACACTACAGGAACCAGATCAGTGTGTATGCTGGAAGGATTCAGCCTGTTATGTTCAATATTTGACCAAGGAAATAAAACCCACCAAAAGACGAGCGCTGCTGTAATATATGCGTTACTGTAGCTGATCATTGTTTATTAATCAAACAGGACACGAGTGGACGGCTGCTCTGACAGCTGGCGCCAGGTGTTTCAGATGGGAACAGCTGACAGTTGTTGTTCTGGCAAATTCGACACGTGGTGTCCTGACTTCATTTAAACGCACGTGTGTGTATTGTACTGAAAATCCTGCTGATTAAAAGCGGAACACATGTAGAAAGCTGAGGATTATTCGGTTTAACAGTTAAAGCAGGAAGCAGCGGGTGTTGCTGGGATCATGAACATATCACTGTGACATTAGTCCAAATGGCCTGAGGGAAGAAGTTTGGGCCATCCTGATGCTTCGGGCACTGACCTGCTGCAGTGCTTCACTCGCTCACTCACGGTCTTCTGTTGCTGGTAGTTTGCAGCTTTGTGAGTTTTGAGCTGCAGAGACATTTACTGTCCTGTATGAACTCCGTGTTTTCAGTTCTAAATATGATGCGTTGTTACTACAAACATCTGTAATGAAAGAACATAAAGCAGATGACTCATGTGAAAGCACCGTGTGAACGTAGTGTTTACACGTCACACGCATGTCTTTGGACTGTGGGGAGAAATCCCGATTGGTGGCAGGTCTGTGTGTGCACGTTGCCACAGTGTACTTATCTCAGTAACTCCTCCAGGTACTTGGGCAGGTTTGTTTTAAAGCAGCTTCATGATAATAGTAGGAAGTCAGGTTTGTGATATTCATCGAACACACGGACGTGTGAATCTTGTTTTGTTGTTAAGAGTTAAGTTCAACGAAGCTTCCTAACAGATCTGTTTCTAAAAGCCAGAGAAGTGAAGTTTTTGTTAAAAATGTGTAAGTCCTGATTGTTAGTGTGCGTCTGCACAGCTGACGTCTGGTTTAATTTCGTTTTGTTTTGTTAACCAAATCTTTCAAATCGATATATTAAACAAACACGGACTCTTCTGGTCCAACGCTAACACGACCCAGTGGGTCTGAGTGTTTGCCTGATCCCAGTTTGATCCCAGGAGGAGATACAAATCCCAGAATACCATGTAATGTGGAATAAACAGACTTTTGCCGAGTGAACAAAACCCTGCTGTCCTTTTCCTGAGGAGTTTCCCTGTTTTCAGGATTTTCTGTTAAATGTGCTGTGGGTGTGGAGTTTTCCACGGTTGCTTTAGCAAAGCTCAGCTGTCACAGGGCAACAGGCTGCGTACCCTGGACGCACTGCCCGTCTGTCGCAGGGTTTCCAACTGCAGACGGCTGTCCTGATGTTTCTGTGACAAACAGCTGTGAGATGTTACTATGGTGATAGAGGTTTGTTTGCTCAGTTGAAGTACTGATTGAATAATCGTAACGATTGCGTTGCCGCGGATGTCTCTTCCAGCTTCTCGGTCAAGCAGCAAGAAGCATGGTGATTCAGGAGGATGCTATCCTGCACTCTGAGGACGTGAGTAGTCTTCTGATAGGTCAGAGGAAATCTCCACGATCACATGAGATGTGCTTCATTATTGGAGAAAGAAAATCCTCAAAAACAATTTTACACTCGGTGTTCGCTGAGGTCCAAAACTGTGTCTGTGCTCTTCATCTCTTGCAGAGCCTGAGAAAAATGTCCATTATCACCACACATTTACAGTACCAGTAAGTAGCACTCGTCTCTTTCATGTATGAAACCTGTTGGCTTTGCTTAAACTGGTTGCTGTAAAGTCTCTCTGTCTGTCTCTGTCTAAGGCAGGAGGCCATTCAGAAGAAGTAAGTGTGACCACAGCTGTTCATGCCTCAGAGAAACAGCTGGAGCATTTCTCAGCAGTAAGCTTGGTTCTGTTCCTCTGTCCTCCAGTGTGGAGCACTCGAAAAACCTGCAGGACCAGCTGAGACACCTGTTGAAGTAACGGAGAGGACATGCTGTGTTTACACGGTCTGCAGACGGCGTCTCAGGACACTGTTGGACTTTTAGTTCAAACGAAATAACATTTGAAGGGAGGCGCGTCTCTGCGTCAGTGAACCACCGTGGGATACTTGACATAAATGTTGTGTTCATTAAAGTCACATCAAACAGCACACATGCTTCTGTCATACTGGACCATATGTACACCTGTGGGACGGCTGTGTGACAATAACATCAAAGACCTCAATAAAAGCACTAAATGAGCTGGTCCATGGTCTTGCATTAAGGAGAAACATGACGCTGAGCTGCTCCTGTGACCGGCCAGCGCGTCACCGAGTGGGTGGGAGATACTTTTCAGCATCTCCTCATCTTGGACAACATCCACCTCTTCTTTTTTTTATAACTTTTTATTTATCATTTTACAGTATGGGAATACAAAAGGTCAGCATGGGAGACATTCACAGTTCCAGTAATAGCATCTACTTACATCATGGTAATATTCATTTATTCAGTGCAAAGGGGAGTACACAACCCATTTTTCCCAGAGCTTCTTAAATTTCTCGAGCTCGAGTCTAAGGACAAAGGTAAGCCTTTCCATTCCAAAAATTTCTTCCACTATCCCACGCCATTGGGCCTGAGTTGGAGGGTCTGCCTTTAGCCACCTACGGGTTATGGCCTTCCTGCAGCCAGCCAAAAGTATTTTCAATAAATAAATATCTT